TGTTTTTTTTACAAGAACTCTTTATTTGAAGTATCTTCTGAAGCTTCTCCAAGCTCAACACACGCTCTAAATTATCTTTAATAAATTTTACTGGTAGCACAGCAAAATTGAATTTTTTTTTACGAAATATTTTTCTTAAAACAAGAAATACATTATTGTTTTAAGAAATAAATATCCTATTTTTGATTTTTAAAATAAATTTTTTAAACTATGCTTAATAGATTTACATTTTTGCTGTGAGTTCTGATATGTTGTTAGCAACTTTGGAAGATTTAAGAAGTTTTATAATTCATTGTACCCAAAAAATCTGAGGAAGTCTCATCCGTAGACATACTTTCAAACTATGACTTAGAATATCAAATATTACCCAGTAGTCTGGTGAAATATAATACTCAAGATCTAGGGGCTAGCCTTTATCAACAAAAACCGCTTTCAGAAGGATTTTTGCTTTGATTATATCCGTTTTTTTATCTTTTCGGACCTCCATTTGTTTTTGAATACAGAAACTTTTACCATTTTTGTATTGTGAACTTGGTCAAAAGATGCAAACGCCAGCACGAAACATTTTTATGTTTTTACCATGGTTTGAATTTCACCTCTGCAGCAGGCTCAACAAATTGCCAATAGTCTTGTTGATCTTGAAAGTGTAAATTAAAAACAATGCAATATAAATAAAATAAGGTTTAAAATAGGGCCCAGCGAATCACCTTTTTTAGTTTCAAATCGAATCACGATTTGAGGCAGGCCTTGATTTGCAAATCGAATTGAATCACAACCCCAAACAGCATTTTGAGGAAATATAAGTTTAAATAAAACATAGATATCCTCAAAATGCTAATTTGATTCAAGATTCGATTCGATTTGCAAATTAATGCTTGCGTCGATTCGTGATTGGATTCAATGCCAAAAAAGTTGATTCACAGGACCCTAGTTTAAAATGACATTACTAAATGCTTATCATATTTATTTTTGACGAGATAAAATCAAAGTGCTATTTTCATTTTAAAGATTTCATTTTTATTGTATTTCTATTAATTTTAAGAAAAGTCTGTCATTAGAAAAAAAAAATGGTTTAGAGTTATTTTCTTTTTATTTTACATCTAATTTTAAACCATTGTTTAAAAACGGTTTGTTACTTTATGACATAAATTATATGACCAAAATCAGTTATATCTTATGTATTTCCACTTGCTGAATTCAGAACTGACATTAAAAATGAAATATTATTATATTATTATTGATATTAAATATTATCTCTAGTTTAAAAAATAAAAGCAATAATTTTCTCTTAAGGGTATAAATTTCCATTTTTTGAAAAAAAAAAAAAATTATTTTTCGCTACCCATCTTTTATTTATCTTTAAAACTTGTGATATTGTTTATGTGCGTTTGCCAATGTTTCTGGTCTAATCTATTCTTAGCATTTTTTTTTTATTTACTAGTGTAATATTTGAAAAATCAACATGCCAATGAAGTATGTAAATTTAGTGGACAATTTTTGTTAAATTTGTGGTAAAATAACATTTTCCTAACAGAAAAGAACCATGACACCTCTTGTGAAGACTGTTTACCTGTATTATTTCAATATGAAGGGAACCAGGATAAGTCATGGGCTTCACATATATGCTGTAGCTCTTGTTCGGTGCTGTAGCTCTTGTTACACTGCGAGAATGGTTGAAAAATAAAATAAGATCTTTTGCTTTTGCTGTTCTTATGGTATGAAGGGAGCCTAAAAACTATACAGATGACTGCTATTTCCACTTGACCCCACTTATTAAGGCAGGTTTGTCAATAAAGAAAATAGGAACAGTTAAACACCCGAATCTTCCATTTGCCATTCGACATATTCTACATTCGAATAGTTTACCAGTTCCTACTCCACCACAAAGTTGTGAGTTAGAAGCAGAAAATAAAGGCAGAAATGAAATAGAAATAGAAGAAAAAGAAGAAAACAAGTCTTCTACATAAAATAATCCTGTGTTAACAGATGATGTACCATACAGATTGAGTCAAACAGAATTAAGTGATCTTGTTCGAGATCTAGACTTGTCAAAGGAAAAGGTAGAACTTCTACGGTCAAAAATAAAGCAACGGAATCACCTCCAATTTGATGTCAAGGTTTCATAGAAAACGATAACAAAATCTGCTTTTTTTAAAATAAATAAATAATCTGGCATTGATTTGGCATTGATTGAAGTTGGCATTGATATCTTTGGATTAATGCATTGTCTAAATTGAAACTATGATCCAACTAAATGGAGATTATTCATAAACTAATCTAAGCTAAACTTGAAAGCTGTGTTACTGCACAATGGAAACCTTCTTCCTTCTATTCCTATTGGCCATGCAGTTCTTATGAAAGAGACTTATATAAACATGAAAGTTCTCCTCAACTCAAGATGTTCTTTTTCCACCATTACATATAAGTTAGGTTTGATGAAAATATTTGTCAGAGGTATGAACAAAGAAGGACAAGCTTTTAAGTAGAAACAAGTTTCCAAAGATAAGTGATGAAAAAGTTAAAGAGGGTATTTTTGTTGAGATACAAATAAGTCAACTTTTGAAGGATCCTGCATTTGACGAAGTTTTGATGGGGGAAAAAAGGAAACTTGGAAAACTTGCTCTTAAGGAAGTAATTTTAGGATTTTTAAACAACAAAAGAGATGATAACTACATTCAATTGGTAACAGTACATCTGCAAAAATACAATCACTCAGTCTTCTCCGTTTGTAATTTAATGCCAGCGCTGGCAGGATGGTCATTTTTAAGTTAGCCTGCGCGATTTAAAAAATTATTTTTTCTTGCTATTTAAATAAAAATAAAAATTGCGAAAATAGTGCTTTGAATAAATACTAGTAAAAATAATTTAAAAAAATCTGGTAAGAAAAAAGTTTTTTTTCATAAAAGTTGAACAAATGAAAAAAAAAGTTTGGTTGTAATTTAAAATAAAACGCTTTTACTTTTTTTTGGCTAGCGCTTTTTTATGCGCTCGCCAAAGTATTTGCGGGCGTGTTGGCGAGCGTGAAAAGACTTGAGCGCAAAAGCGCTGGCTAAAAACAAAAAAGACTGTCAACTTGAATGTAACATGTCCCTCAAGATTTATTTCCTCCACTCAAACCTCGATTTCTTCCCGCTCAGCCCCCTCACTTCCACAACGTTGTGGGGGGTATTGTATATCTCAGAAACTAGATCTAATAAAAAATATTTCCTTGTCTTTTTCTTTTTTCTCAGCCCAAAATTAGTATAATTTGAATTGCTAAAGATATAAAAAAAAAAAAAAAATTGTTGCCCAGTGTTATTCTTAAGTAATAAGACTAAAATATCAAAACTTATGAAATTAAGTTTTACTTTAAAAATTAAAAAAAGTCGCAGGTCAAAAACCGCGACTCCTTGGAGAGAGAAATTTAGTCAGCCATTCTATTGATCTCTTTAAGTATTTTATTACTCAATAAAAACCTGATTTTAGAAAAATGCAACTTGAATTTCATGAAAGTCAAGGTGTGTGAAACAGCTCCATTTTTGTTAATTTTCACCTGATGGATCTCTGCTCTTCTTAAAAGTAAATAATTTTAAAATTAGAAATTCATTTTGTTTTTTCAAAAAGATAATTTAAAGTGAAGCTAATATATCTTTACCATACTATTTTTTAACCTTTTACGGTTTTATGATATAAATAATTTATTCCCCAGTTTAACAGTTTAATTTACATATGCGGAAATACAGAAGATTTATATCGTATATATAGATCATAACACTAAGTATTATGTAGTTTCACTTATCGGTCACTTAGTAGACCGAGGCTACATAACAAGGCCTGCAAAGACAAGTTCAACTCAAGTTTAAGAAGAAAATAAATTACTGTAAAAGTCAGAAGAAGTCGAGTTAGAAAGATAGCATTAGGAAAGCGGACAGATGTGCAATTATACAATAAATTAGTTATAACTAACGAATATATTTGAAAATAGTTGTTTAATATTTGAATTTGCCATCATTTGAAACATTTTTCAACTGTTTTTATCAGGGGCTACCTATCTTTCTAGTGTCTTTTTATAATTTAGAACAGTAATTATATGACTTATGGATCCAAACTATACAAAGAGAGTTTAAAGTCACGAAATGTAAATTTAAAAATACTTTTTTTGGCAGATGTTTCTCCTCTTAATATCTTATTTTGAAAAAATTTACAAATTTTTTTTTGAACGAATAATTTCATCAATAGTGCAAGATTGAACTTTTTTTTTTATTAATTTTTAATTTTTATTTAATTTTATTTCTAATTTTAATTCCATGTATAATTTAGTTTAAAATTTAAATTTAGCCGATGAAATTATATTTGAAATTAATCCTCATTTGCTAATTAGTCAATAAGAAAAGAATATAAATTAAAATTAGAGTCGATGTATCAATATCGGTCTATAATCATTGGCCAAAAGCTAACATCGGTACAACCCTACTAAAAATACAATTAAAGCTACGCAAAATAATACACTTCGTCAACTTAAAAAAAACGTTGTGTCAACGTTGATTTTTTGTTGTTGGCGACGTCACAAATGCGACGTGGTTTTTTGTTGCGCAACGTCTGTTAACAGTGTTTCACTAACCACCCTGTGGGGACACTAAGTATTTTAGTTGTCAAAAAACTTAATCATACGTGTTAAAACGTTTTTTAAAAAATGTTTTGTGCTGGGCAATATAATATAAAATACTGGGCAAAATGATATAAAAACATTTTATATCATTTGGTTTCGATGTTTAATTCAATTTTTTAAAAAACACGCGCTTATCACTTTTTTAAAAGTAACAAATCAGGTTGCAAATATCTGTGCTTATTCTGAGCCTGAATATGATTTCCAAACATGCCTCTATGTACCCAGTGTTTACTTAATTTATTAAATGCAATTTAAAAAGAACAAACGTTACAATGGCTGTTTTTTTTTAATCAAAAATTAAAAAAAATCAACTTTACAAAAGATTAAAAATTAAAAATGTCTTTTATTTTACCTTTTATTTTGTCTTTATTTGCACTCATTAGTACAGCTGATGACACGCCGTTACCTAGAATTTGTGAAAACTGGAACAAAACATAAAATATGCTAAAAAATTTTGAAACTACGGGGTCTTTTGGAAGGTTCAATGAATTAGCATGATTAGTTGCAATTGTGGTAATATAAGATGAATGACACGTCCACATTACAGCCGTGCTTAATCCTAAAAATAATGTAAACTATAAGGCAACAAGTAAAAAATATTGTAGTACTCACAAATTATCTTAAGAAGAATTCACAAATGATATATTTAATTAATAAAATAAAAAATAAAAAAATAAATAAACACACACATATCATAATAGACAAAATCAATCATCATGATAAAAATATATTAATTAATTAATCAATGTTATTTTCAAAGGGATATCTCGTGTTCAGGAAGTGTGTAGCAAATGAAAGACATGGGTATTAAGTTGTATGAAAGACACGGGTATCAAGTTGTATAGGTTTTGCAAATAAGACTATTTTCCTTTAGATGGTTTTATCATATTTTTCTATAGATGGTCATATTGTATTTTCCTTTGGATGATCCCATCGTTCTTTCCTTTGCATGGTCCATTCGTATTTTCCTTTAAATGATCCTATTGTATTTTCCTTTAGATGGTCCCATTGTATTTTCCTTTGGATGGTCCCATCGTATTTTCCACATACTCCAGTATTTTTGATTAAATCTAGTTCATTTTCATATTCTGATTTAACATATTTTGGTATTACTGGGAAACTTTGTTAAAAAATAATTTTGATTTTTATCTCATCATTTCCATTTGACTCTCTATTTAACACTATCAAAACTGCTTTGTGACCTTTCTTTTTAATGTCAGTTTTAATGACTTTATATACTTTTAAGACTGCCATTCAATAGTAATTGGTCCAAACTTTGTTATTACTAATGGAGAAATCTCACCCTTATAACTTAACAGACTTATTCCCAGCTTTATATAAACTTCAAATATATACGGATTTTCACTAAAATAACTTCACCGACAATAAATTGACAATTGCCATTGAATTTTAGAGTTTTCCTCTATGCAATCAACAAAAATAAAACTCTGCGTATTCTGTTTTTCTTAGTTGGAAAAACATTTTCTATATGAGAGCTAAAAATAAGATAAGATACAGCATCCACAGACACTCGGCTGTGTGAATAAAAAAGAGCAATTGCTTTTACTTAGTAATTGGCCAGTTTTACGTGAATTGAATGCTTTAGCAATTTCGTCTAAATTTTTATTCACGTAAAGCTCAACAATTACTGAGTAAAAGCAATTGCTCATTTTTATTCACCAGACCTTCTAAAATGCTTTAACTACTTGAATGAAAATATTATATGTAATGGCCTCATCTAAGACACATAAAATTTAAAATCTTTAGGGAGTCCTTAACAAAAATTCCCTCACAATTTGCTAACGCTTGTTTAATTAAACCAGTCAAATCTTCCTAATTCAATTGTTCACAATTTTCAGTTAATAGTTAAAGTATTTCGGAATCATGCTGTATTTGTATCTTATTTTTAGTTCACACATAGGAAGTGATTTTTAAAAAACATTTTTTTTTCTGTTTGTGTAATAAAAGCATAACTGTTTAGTTTTAAATTCATAAAAATAGATTGTTTAAATGACATTCACATTTTCAGCTGAACTTAAGCGGTACTGAAATATAAGTTTTTTGTATTTTAAAATGCATGTCAGAATTTTGAAAGAATATAAAATTTATACTTTAAATTATTCAAAATTTTTTTTAACCTTGTTTTTACTTTAAAGTAAATTAAAATAAAACCAAAGTTCAATCTCATGTTGTTGTTTTTTATTAGTTATTTAGGTTGCACAGTGGGCCAGAATTCACTTTTACTTGACTTAAATAATAACTCATCGTATAAAAAAGATTTAAGAACCATTTTTGCACTGTTTACTAATTTGAGAATTGCAGTTTTAATAGTGATATTATTTTTAACTTTGGGTTGCTATGGATACCTGAAAAGCTTAGCAACAACATATTTTATTACCTTCATAAATATAAAGTAGAAAAAGTAATAACTTTATTGAATTTCTCCCATAATTACCACGTTGAGTATTATGATACTACAAATGTAGTGGTACTATGGATTTTTTATTTGGTTGATAGTGACGCCTAAAATACCTGACGCTTCATTTTGCATAGTTACTAGCTTAAGTACTTTTTCTTCAAGCATCAATGTTATAACTAGAATAATATTAATGTGGCAGTCTGATTAAAAATTATTTTATGCATTCAAAAAATTCAACATATTCCTAATTACTAATTGTAATTATTTTTATGCAGTTTAAAGGCTCTGTTTTATATTTCATGAAACTACAACATAATCCATATAAAAAAAACTGAGTTTGAACCTTTTTGTGTATATAAAATATTAGGATTAGCTCACTTCAGGTTTTCTTGTATTATATATGAATAAATATCAATACTTTCCATGTTTTAACTACATAAAAATATAAAATTTATTTACAAAATTTTTTAAATAGGTATTTTAGTATAAAATAAAACAAGTTTGTAACGCTAATCTAATCTTGCTGAGATCCAATTAATACATAACCATTTAGAATAAAGTACATTTAATGTTTTCGTCATATAAAATTGGATACATTATTTACCCGGTGGGAGATGAGCTAGCCACTAGCTAGTCGCTAGTCGTTATGGCCAAAAGACATGTTAAAGACGTGTAAAATATGAAGTACTACGTGTTTTAGACGTTTTAAAAACGTCTTTCGTCAACTAGCTCTCTTTTTTTCAACGCTTAACTTACAAAAATCATTAATAGAAACCAGGCGGACATCCGCGGATTAAAAAAACAAATTTATATTGATAATATACGTATTGAACCATAGTCATAAGAAACAGATAGTCTCGTCACTCGGGTCGTATTATGTGATTTTTCTAATATTCGTTAAAAATACTTGAAAACTGTCGAACGGCCGGGAACAGAGTGCACAAAATATGGAAACGGACATAGATTTCAATGGTGAATTTGATATTGAAACATTATCTTTTTCTTTGGAAAATGATTTTCTTTTTGAAGACGAAAATTTTAATAAGGATTTAGACGCCTTGGTCAACACCAAGGCGTGTCTAGAGTTGTCTAGTGAATCAGTTAAAAGTGCATTTTCTCGCACAATTTGCTCTAAAAAGTGCATATCTCAAAGAGGCCTAACAAGGCATACAAATTCAAAACATCAAAGTATTCCTTTGGATTTAACATAACAAAATTTTAAACCATTTACTCTTCTTAGCGAATTTAAAAATCTACTTGATAAAAGCATTACTACCTTAATTGACGACGAATGCTATCCTGATTTGTATAGAAACGAGTTGAGAATTAATCATGCAATGCTTTTAGAAACATCACAAAAAACTATATCTGTTTTAGAGACAACAATAGCTGGTTTTAAAGCTTATGGCGATGCAGAAAAATTTTATCCTCAATTTTACAAAAGTATTAATTGTGATAAAGGAATTTTCAATAACATAAACTAAAAAAACAACTAGACTTTTTGGCTATGAGCTATGCAATCATGTTTTAGCGTTTCTTACAAACTCATTTTTCAATAATTCTTTTATAAATTTAAATGATTTATGGTCTGTTGAACTTTTAAATAGAGATAAATTAATTAATTTAACTTTTTTTTTTTTAATTTTGAATTTTTCATGCTATATTTTTCTATACAATGTTCTTCTATCCGAAGATATTTTTGGCTTAGCATAGGAACAGCCACAAATAGTCATTAAGACTAATCCAAAGTAGCGTCCGTTATTGACCAACATTTTTGCGTACCGAAGTACTACTCAAGCGCTGAGTTGGCGGTGGCAGGATTTGAACTCGTATCTTACAACAGATCGGGTTTAAAATTTTTGTTCTACGCTCTAACCAACTGAGCTATCCAGCCACTCTGAGCTATCCAGCCACAAACTGAGCTATCCAGCCACTAGAACTTAGCTATCCAGCCACTATCCACCCATAAAGAAATTATCTTGTATCAAAGTGGTTATGTATTCAGTACATTTTATTTCAGAATTCACAGTTCACGGTTATGGCAGAAAAAGTTAGGCACAGACTGCCTTTCACTTCTTAATGCTGGTAAAATTGAACATTTTGTTAAGAATCCTGAAACATCCAATGAGTCTTACCATAAATTTGTTAATGCTAAAAATCGAGATAATTTGTGGAAAGTGTCTCCTCCAGTCTTAGAAATCTTTACAAAAGTTAAGGTTCTCTTTAGCCAACAAAGTAATGGTTTTGTAAAAAAAAATGATTCAGAACTGATTGTGACCGAAATTTTAAAAAACTGCGTTGTGATGGCAAGCATATCTGAACTTAGTAGTCTTTGCACAAATCAAGTATCCAAAGAACTGTTTTTAAACTTATTTTATCATCTGGTTACACTTTATGTTAGAGTAAGATCTTTTTCATATGCAAAAGAAAAACTAAGTATCCACAAACTTAAAGAGAATTAAACAAAGTCAAAATCACTCCGTTCAAAAATGAAAAAGACATCAATTGGATTGGAATAAATAGTTTAATAGAATATCACATTCAAAAACGGCTATTTTTATATAAACAAATTTCATTAAAGCATACTTGGCATTGTAATACTGTTATTTGTCATAAAAAATATTAATTAAAAAAAAAGTTTTTATTTGTTTGTTTCAATAAGAAATAGGTAAAACCCTTAAGACCTTAACCCCAAAAAAATCTTATCAAAATGTAGTACAAAATTATAATAAACACACAGTTCTGAATATATAATAAACAAATATTTTCAGACTAACTTTCTGCTCTGATTCCTGATATAACATATTATTATATATACATATATATATATATATATATATATATATATATATATATATATATATATATATATATATATATATATATATATATATATATATATATATATATATATATATATATATATATATATATATATATATATATATATATATTATTATTATTATTATTAATTAATGCTGTTGAGATAAAGCGCCAGGCAATATCTATGACAGCCGGTATAAATTAATAAATGAACAAGTTAGTTCAGTCACTAAATAATAAAAAACGTTAATAGTAAGCTTTCTTGGTTTTTATCTTGTTTGTTATTGCTTCTAAGTCGACCGATTGCAAGTTTAATT